TTGGCTTCTACTCACACTTTCTGGACAAGGAAGAGTAACTTCCATCTCAGAGGGGAGCAGAGCTTAATAAGCCACAAGGATCGTCCACTCTCACTACACTACTTGCTGGTGGGAGTGGGCACTGCTCGGGAAGGAAACACCAGGTTTTCTCTTCCAGCCCTTAAAAGGGCTCCACACTGCCTGTGGAATCCAAGTCAGCCCAAGTGCGTCCAGTCAGAGCACTTGAGCCAGTGGCAAACAGCGCTTGACAGTAGCCTAACAATTTCTGGAACAGACCTTTCCCCAGAAGATATCGATGCCCTGTGACATCTGCATCCTTTGGCAGAAGGGCTCTACATGAGACTCCTAAGAAACTGCGGGAGGACACACTATTTCTATCAGCTCCACTAAGATCATGGAATAGTGAGGCTCTGGGATCCATCACATCATCAGGGATACACTGAATTCTGCAGTAAATGAAGACACAGTATTTTCTTGGCTATGAAAGCCCACTCCAATTAGCACCATCACTATGAAAGTTTTGCAATCAGATTTCCTAGAGATCCATATGTGGAACCAGAGAAAACAATGTCCTCTTCTCACCATACCCCATTGATGTTCCGGCCCCTCCTCTACTGACCTCAAAGGGTTTACAATCTCTCAGCTTATGTTATATAAGGGGAAACTTCCCCTACTGTTTAATTCTCTGCTTTCCACAATACTGAAGAACACGTAAGTCCACAATCCTTTGGGCAACAAAAGAGATAAAGACAGTTCAGCAACTGTCACTGGGGATGACATCCTTGACATGCAATTTAAAGATGTCACCAAATGCAAGTCAAGGATGCCATCGCTGGTGATAAAATTTAAGAGTCAGATGCGTCAGCCGTGCAACTTTGCTGACCGGGTGCTAGGAACTGGCACCGCTGTCAAAAACAACAGCAAACCGTGTCTAGCTGTGGTTTTTTGGTGTTTTGTTTTGTTTTGGTACTAGGAATCGAACTCAGGACCTTGCGCTTGCTAGGCAGGAGCTTATGCCACTGAGCTATATCCCCGGCCCTTAGCTGGGGTTTTAATGATTCCCAAAGAGAGGCTGCCTCAATCACAGGTTGGAGAAGGCCACCTGTAGCTGTTAAAGAATTTTAACTGCACCCCCAAGCCTCATTCCAGCAAGATGGCTCCTGGGCATAGACAGTTCCAACTCTATTCTAATCTCCAGGCTCTTTCTGTCACTGGGCGTCAGTGTGATGAAGGGTTCCTCTTGGGATCTTTAATATTCAACCTCCTTGATAGGGCTCCATACCTATCTAAACACCCTTCCCCCAAGGACTAAGTTTGCAAAGCATTACAAGGAAAGGAGTTTAATAATTACCAGTAGCATTGCTAATAACAATGCTGCCTTATATTCACGCAACAGCCATCCTGGGAAACCTAACTGCTACTTGACATAATCTACCCTTCTTATGTCCCGGTGGGGAAGCCAGTATTTTAGGTAACCATGACTACTGTTAGCTGTCAAGGATCTGTTCAGAAAACTAAAAGGTAATGAGAAAAATTGAAAACAGGATATGCCTGTGATAATTTCCATCTAATTTTGAAATGTGTTCACTAGTCTGAGTTATTAGGTGGAGGAGAGGAGGAGCACATAAAGAAGGAGGGGGAGCAAATTTGCCTAACAGTTAAGCTTTTATGTAAATTCAAATTAGCGATGTGATGTCCACGATCACGGATCACGTCACCTGACAACTGTGGGGGTGGGAAGTCACATGCGCTGATCTTCCACAAAGACTGGGAACAGACTGGAAGCAAGTGGTCCCCTCTCCCCTAAAATATAAGCAGGGATATAGGCTTGTTAGCTTTCTTTACCCTCCTAGGGTTTTCTGAGGAGGTAAACATTATACCCTTTTGAAACTGACTTAACATAGGAGTTATAGTCAGGTATATTATTTAGGGAAAAGGTAGGCAAACTTCCATAAAGTACTGTATAGTGAATATTTTAGGCTTTGTAGGTAGTTTATCACAACCACTGAGCTCTGCCACAGACAACACGAAAGCAGCCATAGATAATACCTACAGGAGGAGTGTGGCTGTGTGCCAATAAAACTTTATTTATAAAAACAAGTAGAAGGCTCAACATGGCCTACAAGCTATCTATGCCAACCCTGGTTTTAAAAGATTCTGGTGGGTAGAAGAGGTGCCAAGGCAGCATTTGGCTTCCCAGTCAGCCGGCAAGCCTGAGTGGGGTTGGTCCCCTGGAGAAATAATTAGCACCGCTTGATTAAACATTATCTTCATGGGGCTTGCCTAACATGCCCAAGGTCCTGAGTTTGATCTCCAGCACTGCAAAAACAAAACAAAACAAAACCCCTATTATCTTCATCCTAGGGATATGGAGACTGAGACACTAAACAGGACAGGTAAGACTGGATCCCAGAAAATGCCACCTCCTACTCCTGTTTTGTCCATAATCAGTGGTCCTGGGAGAACACAGAAGTTATTAGCCTCTAACCAATCTAAGACACAAAAGAGAATTTAATTTAAGGGGCAACTGCAGTAAGAAATTTATCCTGGGTTTCTATTACTCACTAGTGGCTCTGAGCTTTCTTAGCGTTGACCCTCATTTCTCTCTCTGCTCTCGGCCTTCCTCACTCCTAGCCCAGCTTCATAAAAATGAAGCCATTCCTCACTCTATGAAGACATCCCTGGTGGACGAATGGTTGCAGAAGGGAAATCCCGCTCTTTACACCATAACTCTCTTTACAAGGTCTACTATATCTTGTGGAGAACACAGTAGGGTGTGTGGTGCAGAGATAACTGCACAGCCCTGAGTGTTACATCATTTGGGGATGGGAAACACAAATGGTGACAACATTTAATTGTTCCTGAAACCAAGTCCCAGCTCACATTCCTTTTGAAACAGTTGGTTTTCAGAGCCCTGTTTAGAAAGCTCATTTTAAAAGATGAGGGAGTAAAAAATGCAAGAGGAGGCCTTGAAATTCTAAAACCTGCAGTACTGGTTTCAGACCCATCTGGGTTTGCTCTTTGAAGCCTGAAAAGGCAATGGGCTCTGGCCAACAGTGCTCTCACCCTGGCTCACAGGAGGGAATAACAACATAAGCAGCAGCAGACACTTTGATTGCACCAGAAGTGTGCCAGGCACTGTTTTAAGCATTTTACTAACTCTTTGGTTCTTATGATGCAGAATACTATCTGCATTATCCACAGATGAGGAAATTGAGGCATTTAGAAGTGACGTAACTTCCTAAAAGGCACACAGCTAGTAAATGGCAGAACCTAGATTCAAAACTAGCAACGCCATCCTCTTCAGGCTTATGATAGCAAGGGTTTCCCCTCTATCATCTAAGTCCTACTGGCCTAGAGGAAATCACCCCTGCTGCTGCTCCCCAAGGGCACAGAATGGAAACAATCTGAACATACATGAAAGCTGAAGTCAACATGCAGCAAACCTGATGTATGTGCCCCCAAACCAAAGGCCAGGTATATTCCTCTAATGCTTGGACATAACAAAATGCACAGCCCCAGTTACTCTTTCCTGCTTTTTTCTTTTACTCTCCTACCTTATTGAAAATCTAGGGGCTGGGGATTTAGCTCAGCGGCACAGCGCCTGCCTGGCAAGCTCAAGGTCGTGAGTTTGATTCCCGGTACCAGAAAAAAAAACAAATCATGAAAATCTACAGATAATCCTACCACCCACTAGGCAAATGCCTTATTAATACCGATGAGATATTAATAGGGGGAGAAATGATCAATTAGCCCAAAGTACAAGAGTCCATTCAGTTGGTTCTAAGTCACCCAACAAGTTATGCAGAACTCTAGTTTCCCATGTTTATGCCAGTATTGTAGAGGCCCTGAGCCTAACAAAAAGAGTAGGCCATATAAAAAACTTAAGCATCCAAACCTACTTTCTTCCCCTTTGTACAGGATCCACCAAGAGGTGTCCTTCTACTATTAGCTGTATGGGAGTCACCAAGGAACTGCTCTTAAAATGCAATTACTAATCCATTTCCAGCTACTACACAGGGAGGCTTTCTGTTGCCTTCTGCTAAAAGTGACGGGCTCTGGTGCTTGTTGTTCTAACTTTCCTTGGTTTCAAGGAAGCCCAAACAAAACCAACAGGTTTGTAGTCTTGTGGTTTCCTTTATAGCTCCTGATAGGCTATAGTTCGAGTTTGCCTGGGCATTGCCTCCCTCTACGGCACCGGATTCTACACATACTTTTACTACTCATTCACCATCTTGCTACCACATTTGACCAAATTTCTGTGTTCCAAGATGTGATGCTAACATATATGGTGGGGTCCCGAGACCAGGGGCTTTCTACCTCAGAGACCCGATTAATTCCATTCCTACCTAGTAAGGCACTGTAACAACTAAACTTTCCATGTGCAGCAACTAAGCTTAGTAACCACAAGCTCCAGACACTCTGGTTTAGAGAATGTCACTAACCGTTAAGATGGCAGGGACCGTGACTTTTGTACATTTAGTACAGACCCGGACTTTGGAAGTGTGCAATGATCTTACATCTGGTGTGAATCAAACGCAAGCCTCACTTTCAACTTATTGCCAACCTCCTCGTGCAAGTAGGTTCCTTTCTGGGCTCGAGTGCCTGCATTTGCAGCTCCCGGTTGGGTTTTGAGTGTGAACATAAGGTTAAGCTTGCTCCTCCCTAGCTTTCCCACACCCACATCAAGCTGCTATTAAGACACCTTTGAGTACCAGAAAGTGGGATATTTGCCACACTGTTGATTGTAACCCTCACCCCACTGCCACGTTGGCTGACAATGCTTAGAACAAAACAACCTGGGGCGTGCGGGGTGTGCAGGGGGCGAACTGCTCAGACCCTATCCACATGCGTACACGCACAGGATGGCTGGAATGAGACAGCCATACTAAGCAGGTCAGTGATCTGGGACCTTAGAACTTCTGGGCCACTGCGAGAAGAATGTAGGCAATCAGGAGAGGAGCGTCTGTACCACAGCAAAAGCCGTTAAACTAACTTACTCCAGCGAGCGGAGATCTGCTCCGCGAGGCGGCAGCAAGGGAAGCGCACGTGAAGAGCAGAAAGGCGCTCCAGGGCCGCAGAGGGATGCCGGGGCCGAACCTGAGCTGGAGAAGTAACACATGGCTCCACCGGCTCGCCTCCGTGCCCCTCCCCCTCCCCGTGCAGGCGCCCGGCGCCCACCGGCCGCTCGCTCCTCGCGCAGCCTCGGCATAGGGCGCCCCCCATCCCATGCCACTGCTTCCCGCACCGCGCTCCCAGCCCCTCGGCCTTTCACTCTCCCACCACGGCACCCCTGCCCACTTCTCCGTTACGCCCCCAAAACCAGCCTCCATCTGCCAGGTCTCCCATCGCTCACCTCTCGGCCCCGCGACTCCCTGCACTCTGTCCCGGCGCTGCGCCTCACGTTCACAGTTCTTCGCTCTCCCTCCCTCCGCCCTCGCACACTGCGCGCTCCCCTCTCTCGTCCTCGCACCCATCCACTGCCCCCTCACGCTTCTCCCAGTATCCTCCCCCCACCGCTGCGTGCCCCTCCCCCAACGCTCCTCCCCCAGCACCCGCTCGGGTCCGGCTCACCTGCGCGGCCACCCCCGTCCCGGCGCTGAGACGGCTGCTGCAGCTGGAATGGGACCGTAGCCCTGAGCGGCTGCAGCCCAGCCCGGGGGGAGCCGGCAGGCGCTGGTGGAGAGCAGCCCCGCCGGAGCGCCCCGGCCCCTCCACGCCCTGGCCCCCAGGCACCTCCGCCTCTGCCGCCCGCTGCGGCCCCCGCCATCGCCCGCCCGGACGCCAGCCTGCCTCGGACCCACGACGAGCCCCACACAGTCCCCCAACCCCCGCTGCCGCTGCTTATCTGTCCTACCGGGCGTGGACCGGCCCCCGCAGCCCAGAGCTCTAATTGGGTTATAGAACCCCGGGCCCACCCCCTTCAACCAATCCTCGGCGGGCTCTTCCGTTCCCGAAGATGATTGGTAAATATGCCTAGCGATCCAAACCAAGACCCCACCTCCACCCCGCCCCCCTCCGGCTGTCCTAGGTCCGAGAGCCCGCTGATTGGGCCGTCTCGAAAGGGCTGGCTCTCCAGCGCCGCCAATGAGAAGGCTCAGAAAAGGGGAGCGTCACACCCAGTCCCAGGTAGTATGCAAATATGATGTCACGTGACCTCGGGATTGAGGGGGCGGGACCGGGTGTAGGTTGGAATCAAACACTAGTGAAATCTTTGTGGGGGGCGGAGTGTCAAACTTTAAGCTGTTGAGCCCCAGTAGCACGGAGAAAGTGATAACTTCAAAAGGCACTACATTTAGTTTAACCTAAAAACGTTAGCTTTAAGTACTCGTAGTCTCTCAGCGCTGCTTGCAAACTCCAAATTAAGATTCCACAAAGTACTGTAAAGTTTGCATATCATTTGCATAGGATTTGTATTATATGGGTGCACTTAATGGCTACCTTGCTTCATGTGACGTCCACATTTGTCTTCCTCCATGTTCCCAGCTTCCTACTGTTGGTTGGTCCAACCTTAGGAGAACATGTCTGCCGGGGATATAGCTCAGTGGTACGAGCGCCTGCCTGGCAAGCTGAAGGTCCTGAGTTCGATTCCCAGTACCAAAAAAACGAAAAGAAAACAAATGGTGGCCCGTATATTAGGTTTGGGGCTCCGAAAGGGAGCTAGGAATTTCCTGTCGGAATCGACAATTCCAAGTCCACCTCTGCAGAAAAAAAGCACTAAAGTGACAGAGAAACTTGCCCAAGTTTGCAAAGGGACTCCATTAGCAAAACCTGGCCTTCCCAGTTCAGTGCTCTCTGACCTGCAAGCCACAGTGAGACTGGATGGTCCCCAAAGAGAACATATGCAATTTCGAAAATCACATGCTGTAATACATACAGGCATTTGGGCAAGAAAACCACACCTAAAGTAACATTAAAAATTACTACTCGTGTCAAAAGAAAACATACTGCTCTTGTATTTGTTAACCATTTGTTCTATATATGGAAAAAGCAAAAGTCAGCCAACTCTGGATTGTCTGCGATAAGGGACCATCTAAATAATTGGATAATTCCCTTTAGATTTATATTTAGCTATGAATTCTATTTTTGATCTTGCTACTGATTTGTCTTGCTATTTCTGGTTTTGCCCAGTTTAATGTTAAAAGGAAGGTATTCCCTGAAGCCATTCTAGCGAATCAGAGTGAAGGAAGGCACGGGAGAGGTCACACTGGGATTAAATATGGGAAGCAGATAGGGGAAATGCAAATCCAAGGGTTGACTGAGTATTAAATCAGCCTACATACGCAGAACAAGTGAGACAATGGCACATTCTATAGAAGGGCTTTCTTTGCAAAGATGGCGCTCTTGCAGGTTTGAGGGATTTGCTTCAGAATTTGATGAGGGCGAAAAAAATCTGACCTGGGAATTTTTTGGATGACTAAAAAATTGTTGCCCTGCTTTTCCATGAAAGGGACCACTTTATCAAAGGCAGATAGGAATGCACCAAAACTGATGAACTGATAAAAACTCAGTCATTATAGATTCGGTTTCAAGAATATCTTGCATTAATATTGTTTCTCAATTTCAACCATTCCAAGGTTTTCCTACACTTTTTACAGATGCACATGATTACCTGGAGGCAAACCATACATTCTTCCCATGGTGCAAGTAGGGGAACTAAAGTCCAAAGAGGTGAGTCCTTCCAACTCCTAGTTCAGAACTCTATCATATCTTATTGGACCACCTTGCCTCATATCTTCATTAATAAAAACAGAAATGGTGGCAAGTAACATTCATTAAATTTCTCTTTCCGAGCCAGGTCCGTGTTAAGCACTGTGCATAAATTATCTCATTGTGTGGCCAGGGGTGTAGCTTAGCAGCACAGCACCTGCCTGGCAAGGGTGAGGTTATGAGTTCGATTCCTGGAACCACAAAAAATAAATAATCTCACTGAATGCTCACTATAACACCTGTGAGACAGATCCTCCTTACTGAAACTTCAGAGAGAAGCAACCTGCCCCAGTTTACCCAGGCAACCTGACTCCAGAGCTGAGCCTCTAATCCCTAAGCTTGTAAAACTTTCTCATGAACACAGGTTTACTATTTATATTTTACATAAAGAGTCTCTAAAGATATGAATCTGGCTGAGATGTGAAAGTTAACATCTGTCTAGTGCCTTATAACTTTCCCATATATCATCTCACTTAATTCTCACAGTAGGCATGTAAGGTAAGAGGTGCAAACATTATTGTCATCATTCTACAACAGGTGAAGTCACCGAGGCTAAATGACTTATCCAAGGTCATCCTGTTAATAAATGGCAGACTCAAGACTTATGTCCTAATTCTGTTTACTCCAGATTCAAGTAGTTTCCCAACCAACACACTAGACCAGTGGTGGCGAGTCTACGACATGCATGCCATAGCAGGCTGTTTGTTATTATTGAAAGCTCTAACAGGCTCACCATCACGGCTCTAGACCATTGCCTGACAGCAAGAGGGTGAACCAACTGGTCTATTAAAATCTGTCCTTGCCTGAAAACCTATAGCATCGAGGACCCCTCAACATGTAGATTCTTAGAAGTCTTGAGAGATGATGAATGGTTTTATTGATTGAATTGTATAGTGTATATTAGAGGTAAAAGGCTTAGGAGGAGGACTCTTGAAACACTTTGGGAAAATGGCTTTCTCTCTGTGCCAGATCACCCCTGCTCCATCAAACCCAAAGCCTTGTTCTAAAGATAAAAATGGGCCTGGGGATATAGCTCAATGGCATAAGTGCCTGCCTGGCAAGTGCAAGGTCCTGAGTTTGATTCCTAGTACCAAAAACAAAACAAAACAAAAAAAAAAACAAACAACAACAACAACAAAAAACCGAGTGTGGTGGCACACACCTGTAATCCTAGCAGTTGGGAGGCTGAGGCAGGAGGATCGTTGTGAGTCAGAGGCCAGCCTGGGCTACATAAGTGAGTTCAAAGCCAGCCTGAACTGCATAGTGAGACCCTGTCTCCAAAAGATTAAAATAAATAAATCAATAAAAAATAAAGATAAAATGACATGTCTGGGAGTGTAGCTCCATCATAGAGTGCTTGGCTGGCATGTATAAGGGCCTGGGTTCAATCTCTGGTACTGGGAAAAATAATAAAAGGACATATCCTGTTACAGATATATTCTTACCTTGGAGACTCTAAACTTTATTCTAAAGCCAGGGTACCAGGAACTGAAAAGTGGAAAAAGAGCTTCTGGGGGTGGCACAGCTAAAGAATTGAATCTTCGGAGTCCAGAAAGTTATGGTCTTTCCTGATAAGTTGCTGGCAAAAAACTGAAGTTGACCTTAGCTGAAGGAGTAGAAGGAGGTAGGTATGGGGAAATCTGTCCTGTGTTTACTAGGTATCATGCCCAACCAGGTGGCCCTTGTTCCCCTCTCTATCCTGATAGCTTCTTCTGGCATGGGCATGATGGAAGGGTAGGGACCTCAAGATTAGCCTCCGTCTGCTGAGGATATAGCTTGGGGCAAATGCCTGCCTGGCAAGCACAAAGTCCTGAGTTCAATTCCTGGTACAAAAAAAAAAAAAAAAAAAGATTAGCCCCTGTCTGTTTCCTCTAATGAAATAAGCCACTGCGATGACTTCAGGAGACAGTGTGCTCCTAAGAGGAAATGCCTGGCATTATGAAGCATTTTCTTACTTGCAAGAAAATTTTTGTTACTGTCTCTACTGCCACCCTTATCAATACCATTCCCATTAGTGAAAACACTCATCTCGGATTTATTGAAATGACCACTATGGCCGACTCTGAGCTAGGCACTAAGGAATGACAGTAATATTCAAGATGTAGTCCTCATCCTGGAATTCACAGTCCAGGAGACCTTGAGGCTTGTTTGGAGAAGTGGCACTGGGTTAGATGCAATTCCAGTTGAGAGGCCTAACCTGGCTCCTACTTTCAGAGACTTTGGTTCAGAGGCAGGTGCTTGAAAACCTTCAGAAGTAGAGGGTTCCCTACACCAAGTATATCAATAATTTTTCATCTCTGGGACACTTACTTGCTTTAGGGGATTCAAACAGCAAATGCTGCTGGGTGTAGTGGCACATGCCTGTAATCCCAGCACTCCAGAGGCTGAGGCAGGAGGATTGTTGCGAGTGCAAGACCAGCCTGGGCTACAAAGTGAGCTCAAGGCCAGCCTGAACTGCACAGCAAGACCTTGTCTCAAAAAAGCCAACCAACCAACCAAACAAAAAAAACAGCAAATGTTTAGACCCTGGATACCAGATTGGTCTTGTGATGTCCACAGCTGTCACAAATAGATGAGAATTTAAGAAATTTGACTTGGCTGGGTAGGGTGGTACATACCTATAATTCCAGCACTTGGGAGGCTGAGGCAAGAGGATCGCTGAGACATGCAGGCCAGCCTGGGTTATATAGTGAGTTCAAGGCCACCCTTAACCACACAGCAAGAACCAAAAAAAAAATAAAGAGAAAGAAAAAGAAAGAAAGTCAGACTTGTTTCCTACAGCAGTGAATCAGAGGTATAGTGACTCCCCCCAAGTAGTCCCTATGAAGTTTGAGGGTCTTAAAAGCAGTAAGCCCCTGATGACTACAAAGGACTACAAATGACAAATGGGCATGGTGGCACACGCCTGTAATCCCAGCATTTGGGAGGCTGAGGCAGGAGGATCACTGCAAGTTTGAGGTCAGCCTGGGCTACAAAGTGAGCTCAAGGCCAGCCTGAACTGCACAGTGAGACCCTGTCTCAAAAAGACAACAACAAAAAAAAAAAAAAAAAGAAGAAGAAGAAGAAGAAGAAGAAGAAGAAGAAGAAGAGGGACAAGAGGCTATGGGTGAATTGTGGCCTTATCTTCCTGGCCACTGGATTAAGCA